GTACCTAGCAGGAATCCAATACTGTTTGCTGAGTGAAGGTACTGGTCATCTTGCAAACATAGAGCATGCTGACCTGCAGGCCTGTGTGGCATAAAAAGTCCGTCCGCACTGGGCCAGCTGCCTTGTTCACTTCAAGTACCAAGTCATCATCCGTGTACATTTTGGAGAACAACATTTGGGGCTCTTGAACTCAAGGCACTGGCAAGCAACCATATGCAGCAGTGTCGGGAGCTACAGCAAAGGGAACTTTAAGAGATGTGGCTTGATAAAGGGAAGAGGACTTGAATATTGCTCACTTGCAAAGGCCCTAGTGAAGTGTTTCCTGGTTCACAGCGGCAACTAGGTGACTCTCTCCTTGAAAGGACTGGAGGGAATGATATGTGAAATATGGTAATAAGCCAGAATCATTTAACCCTCCCATCTAACTCAAATATTAGGTCCATTAGTCAACAGATTTCTGGATTGTCAATGTAATATTAGACCTCTATACATAATGAATTTTTCTTAGGTTACAGACATAGGAATCCAAGTTGACAAGAGATCTATAGTTGACTTGAAGAGATAGAGAATAGATAGCCTTCTTGTTGCCAAGGGGAGTGGGTGATGGGGGAGGGAAGGACTGGGAGTTTGGGATTAGTAGATGTAAACTATTATACAGAGGATCGATAAACAACAAGGTCCTACTGTATATCACAGGGAACTATATTCAAGATCCTGTGATAAACCATAATGGAAAAGAATGTGAAAAAGTATATATATAAACATAAATAAATGAATCACTCTACTGTATGGCAGAAATGCAAATTGTAAGTCATTGTAAATGACTGTAAACATTGTAAATTAGCTGCACTTCAAGAAAATAAATTTTAAAAAAGAGATCTGTAGTTGAAGTTTTAGGAAAATATAGGTCTTCAAAATAATCCTACATTTCATTTGCCCTTGTCAGTGTCCTATAAAGTCATTACATTTAGTTAGTCCTTTAAGAGAAAAATATTTTTCTTAAAGAACTCCCTCTGCCAAGCTCCTTACTGCACTGTCACTTTGCCTGAAGAGACAACCCACTCTGAATGTTAAGTGTGTTCATGAACCCTGCACCGAGGTTTACTTTTTTTTCCTTCCAAGGAGTACAATCATAATTTTATCTATGACACCAGAAGAGAAATGAGGTTTCATCCACTTTAAAACAACAAAACGTCCAGTTAGGCGAATTGTCCTTTGTCATAGTGAGTTTTAAAGAAAAGATTAAGATTTCACCCATATCTCGGAACAGCATGCATATGATAGACAAAAGATACCACTAGCCCTTTGCTGCTTTTTCCCTTGGGAGGCAGGGTCTATTTCCTGTCCCTTGACTCTAGGGTAGCATGTGACTGCTTCAACAGAATACAGTAGGATGATGCCTTGCCAGTTGTGGGCCAGCCTTTCAGAGAACTGGCAGCTCTCACTATGCTCTCCCAGAGCAGAGCCACCATGTAACGCATTCTGCTGGCAGGGCCACATGGAGAGGCCCTGAGTCTACAGGGGGAAGGAAGGGGCCTGGTGGAGTCCAGTCTCCCAGCCGTCCCTACGGTGACTGTCCTCACCCCCACCCTGTCCCCAGATCTCTCTCCTCTCCACATGGAATATCCATATGCCCTTCCCCACCTGGAAAACTCAAACCAAATCCAAGGTCAGACTTGAATGATGCCTCATTTGGGAAATGTCCTCTGACTATAACTGAGGGCTTCTATTAAGTGCTAAGCATTTGGTCTAAGTTACCTCTATACCTCAAGCTGGATATTAGGGTCTCTGTTTTACAGAGGAGGAAGCTGAGGATCAGAGAGGGCAAGCAACTCTCCCAAGGTCACACAGCTGGCAAGGGCAAGAGCCAGGGTTCCAGTTCACATCTGTCAGCTTGCAAAGCCTGCGCCCTCATCTACCGTGCTGCACTCTTCTGCCTTTTCATTCCCCTGGAGTGGGGATAGGGGAATTAATGGTGTTCTTCACAGTTTCCAGAACACTCATTGCCCAGCACTCACCACCCTCAACTACATTTACAGTCTGTATGCTCGACGGAGACGCATTCAAGGCAAGTCACAATCACTGTGGCATGCAGGCACCTAGCCCAGTGTTTGGTTCAAAGCAAGTATTCAATAAACATGAGCTGAAATCAAATACTGCTCTTGGACAGTGAGCAAAGCTGTTTGACCTACACGTCGTCACGTGCCAGCTTTCTCAGAACTGTTCTAGACCCTTCCTCCCACCCCCATTTAATGGCAGCCTTGCCAGGTGAAGGCCCCTTGACTACCCCTTCATGGCTGGTCCAAGGCAGAGAGTGGTATGTGCCTTCTTGGACCCGGGCTCTGTGGATCACACACAACTGGGTGACCTCAGGGTGCCGGCCATCCCCTGACACCCTCTCCTGCAACGACATTCTTTAAACAAACACAGCAGAAGCAAAGCGAAGCAGATGACAACTGGAAGGAGGTGGGAGTGTGTGCTCAGGAGAGAGGGTGCTCTTAAGTGGCAGAGCGAAGTGGGGGCCAGAGGGAGGGCCTTCCCATCACAGGAGGGGGCGGGCACAACCACACGCTCCCCACTCCACGTCCCTGTCTGGCCCCGTGCACCCAGCCGTGGAGGACAGTGCTTCCTCTCTTCTGAAATGTCCACACAGGGACTTCACTGGCGGTCCAGTGGTTACGACTGCACTTTTATAATACAGGGGGCGCAGGTTAGATCCCTGATTGGGGAACCAAAATCCCACATGCCACAGTTCATGGTCAAAAAGCAACAAAAAAAAAAAGAGAGAGAGAGAGAGAAAGAAAAGCAAGTAAAACACAAATACATTAAAAAAAAAAAGATGTCTAAACTTACTTGAAATTTTTGGAATACAAACTAAAGCAACAGTGTGATATAATTTTAAAAAATGAATAAATAAAATGCTTATACAAAGACAGAGGAAGTCTCTCTCTCTTTCACACACACATACACCCCAAAGCCCTTGTTGTCTTCAGATCTCAAGCACTGAGCTGGCTTTGTTCTCTACCCACAGACCAGACGCCTTGGCAGGAAGGAGTTGGAGTTGGAGAAAAAGGAGAATTAAGAATCTATCTGGCCATGCAGATTAAACAAACAACAAATGGACAGGTTTTTTTTTTTTTTTTTTTCCCCCAAAAAGACAATATCCGCTCCTGGTTTTTTTTTTTTTTTTTTTCCCCCAAAAAGACAATATCCGCTCCTGGCAAATATATGGGAAAACAGGTACTTCTGATACACTGCGTGTGTAACCTTTATAGAGGGCAATTGGCAATATGTAATAAAAGGCTTAAAATGCACACTTCTTCTGACTCAGTAATTCTGTTTTTAAAGCTTCCTTTTAAGAACATAATATAAGATTTTTGCAAATATTTGGCTCTAAGCATATCCACTGGTGCAGTTATGGGAAGTGTGAAGCCAGGAACCACCTGAACCCCAACATCTGAGGATGGGGATCTGCCGACAACTGCAGGCCAAGGACAGCACTGGACACAGGCTTTTAAAAACGGGGAACAATGTTCACAGCTCTGCGTTCAGAGACAGCGAGGCTCTGAAACAGTACAGGAGTGCCTTCAAAGCATGGGAACCAGAGGTGAGCTTACTTTCAAGTGATAAGTTCAATGTATCTTTCTTCAAGCCTGAAACACTTTTTAGGTGAAGAATCTCTGAATTTAAAGCAATCAGTCCAAATGTCAATCTGAAAAAATGTACCACAAGACACTATTTTTCCTGTTTCTAGACTTCTTAGATACTCTGAAGTATATATATATTTTTCAGATTGATAATTGAATCTATTGCTTTCATTTTAGATGTCCTGCACTTGAAAACATGTTAGGTATTTTACCAAAGAACTTAATACACTAAAATAAGTAGGTGCTATGAGAATGCCTGGTCTATTAGGTAGAGAAAAAGGTCAAAAGGTAAAGGGACCGTAAATGGTCACTTTTAGGCTAAGGGCTCCTGAGTACTTGACAACTTTTTTTCTTACTGATTTATTTCTATGATTGATCAAGAAATACAAGTTATTTTGGAATCCCAAAGAAACTAATCATTTTAATTTAAAGCATCCATCCAAAATCATGTAAAAGGATGTCTCCACTTGCCTCTGAAACCCAGAACACTAGAGAAGCAGGAACTTGGTGTCAGGAAGTCCCAGTTGGTGCTCCTCTAGGAGCTGGGAACTCAGTGGAAACGAGAAGAGACAGGACCACACTCAGCTGGCACATTACCTTCCAGTGGAAGAGGCAGACCTTCCTCAGATAATGATTCTGAAACCATTACTGATGAACACAGAGGCTCCGAAGTTAAGGACCCCAAGTCCCTGAGAGCAAAGTGCAGAGCAAAGAAACTATCCTAGACTTGAGGGTGAGAACACCCCTCTTTCTTGAGAAAGTGACAAGAGGCAAGATGTGAAGGATGAGCAGGTGCTCCCTGTCGAAGGAAGCAGGGAAAGTGTGCCACCTGGGGCACCTACAAATGAACGCCCATGGGGCTGGGAGAACTTCTGATGGAGACACCTGGGCAGCACTCTGGACACATAGTCTATCTCCATTACTACAGTCCTCTGGGTGGAAATCTTTCCCATATTTCACATGGGAGAAGAACAGAGAGTGGCTCTGTGGCTCCTTTTCTCACGTTTATGATAAGTAAACAAGGTAACCATTCACATCCCAGTCCCAGCTGTTACTTGCCAAGCTTCTGGTTAGGAGGGAGGCTTCCACCATCCTGTGTTAGGACTGGTGGCAACTCTGCTAGGGAAGCCCCAAGAAGAAGAGGGTGAAATTCTGGGGTTCCCTCTGAAGTGGTCCAAGTCCTCAGGTGTGAATGACCTCATAAGGAGTCAAGACTCCATTCACTGCCTGGAGGGGACCTTGCTCCAGGAAGGAAGTTCCAACATGAAACCTCTACCCCAGCTCTACCCCAGCAAGGCAGGAGAGCTGGGCATCTGGGCGGAGACTCCCTGGGGACCCACGATCTCCACTCACCTTCCAGAGCAGCACGGCCAGCAGCAGGAAGATGAGGATTCCCACCAGCAAGCTGATGGCAATGATCCAGCCCACGACATAGCCTCGTGGCTCCAGATTGTGCAACGCCTCAAAGACCACCTGGGAGACAAAGCAAGAGTGAGCTGGTTCCCCAACAGAAACACCCACCGCACGAGGGGGCCCAACCTGGGCTTGACACTGAGGCTGAACCGGAGAGATGCGTCCAGACTGCTGTTGCTATAAAACGGACCCTGTTGAACGCTTTTCTGGTGGTATTCTGATGGGTTTTTCACTAGGATCTGAAAAGGCACTTGAAGTCTCAATTCTTGAAGGGCTAGTAAAGACAACAATCTTGGTTTAAATACCACGAAGTAAATGTAAGCGTGGCGAAAAACTTGGACGAGGTACTATGTTCTTGATTCAGAAAAGACAATAACAGTCTCCGTTTTCTTATGGGTTTTGAAACAAAGGTCATGGGTGTGCCCTCCAGATAAGAGAGGACTTCTGAGTGTTCAGCGCACCATGTAACTTAGTGTTACACTGGATTAATGCCAGTTTCCCTAGGAGACTGTAGATCTCAAGGGCTAGGCACAGTCTGCCTTGGGTCACATGGTGATGCCTATGACACTGAAGGCATTCACTTGAGGAGCTAAGCCCTGGTCCCCAAAGGGAGTCATAGGTTCCTCAGAGCCCATGTCTCAGTGAGGCAAGCTGTTCCAACTTTTATGAACCACGGTGGTGTGCTGGCTCATTCTAATGATGCCAATGGTGTGCCTCTCTTCCCAGCTCCACATCTAAGGACATTACTACGGTATTCTGAAATGGTCCATCACGAGAGTATTTACACCCCTGAAATGGACACACGAGTCAGGGCTCCCACACCCTCCTGCCATTGTTTAACATGTATTAGCTCAACACCGACTGCATCCTTTGGCTCTGTTTTTGCCTTAGGAGACTGTAGATCTCAAGGGCTAGGCACAGTCTGCCTTGGGTCACATGGTGATGCCTATGACACTGAAGGCATTCACTTGAGGAGCTAAGCCCTGGTCCCCAAAGGGAGTCACAGGTTCCTCAGAGCCCATGTCTCAGTGAGGCAAGCTGTTCCAACCTTTATGAACCACTGTGTTGTGCTGGCTCATTCTAATGATGCCAATGGTGTGCCTCTCTTCCCAGCTCCACATCTGAGGACATTACTACGGTATTCTGAAATGGTCTATCACGAGAGTATTTACACCCCTGAAATGGACACACGAGTCAGGGCTCCCACACCCTCCTGCCATTGTTTAACATGTATTAGCTCAACACCGACTGCATCCTTTGGCTCTGTTTTTGCCTCACTGGTCACAGTGGAGTTTATTTTTGCATAATTCAAAGCATCCATCGTGTTCTCTGTGGCCAATCCTCCCAACACCCCAAGGTCCCATTCAAGCTCCTCTTTGCTGAAGAGACAGAAATCTCTGTTCTGGGCAGCCATTGTCTCCCTTGGCAGACAGGCTGCCTGGCCCAGCCACAGGGCTTTGTCCAACCTGGTCCGTGTCCTTGGAATGTCTAGCCCCTCCTTGGGGAAGCCTACCTAAACCTTGCTCAACCCTGGAAGCCAGTTGATGTTTTGCCTGGCAGGAAGCCCAGGGGTTCTGCTCTCCTGCTCAAGCCTCAATGGGGATAGGACCTAGGACTGAGCTGATATAGCCTAGCACCATTTATGCTATCTTTTTAGGGCCTGGCTTCCCTCTTTCTAACATTTCTTGTATGCGTCTCTGTGTCGGGCTCTGTGCTATCCTTGCAATCTCTGTCTGACTCACACAATCACCCCAGGAGGTATTCAGCACCATCCTGCTCTAGGCCATTTAGCTCAAGTGGAGTCAAGATTTGAACTCAGGTCTAGCCACCCTTGAAGGCCCACTCTAAGCTGGTCACTAGCACATCATAGAGTGTGTGGCTGATGGTGGCTCTTTAAAGACACTCTGTCAACTAAATGGATCATTCACTGTTTCTCCCTTGGTGAAAAGGAGAGCAAACGCAATCATCTTTGTCTCACTGTCTTCATTCATACAGGCGGGATAGGAAGGGGGCTGTGCTGGGGGAGGGGACATCCATGAGACAGATCCTGAATCCAAAATATTATCTCAAGGGAAATCAGGCAGAAGAGAAACCATTCCTTTCTATGTTGGGACAAGTCAAAGAAAACAGCCTACAGAACATAGCGGTCACTTTGGGGAATGGAAATGAGGTTTCTTTGTAGCATATACTCATTGGCTATGTGACTGTGGACAAGGTACTTTACCTCTCTGAGCCTCAGTTCTCTCATCTGTAAAATAGGGGTAGAACAGCCCTCCCCAGAGAACTCAAGGGGCTAACTCACACGACATACCTGGCAGAGTCCACCCCCGACACATGCTGGGTGATCCCATCAGTATCACTAGCATTGCTGGCAGGGAGGGATTTTTGTTTGAGGTTGTGCATGGTTGGCACACGTCTTAATTTAAAAAAAAAATGATTTATTGAAGTCAGTATACATAGAGAACAGTGTAAGCAACCTATGTATGCAGTTGAATGCATTTTCATGAACTGAATGTGAAAGAGATTCTCAGATATGGGGCAACCCTGAAGAAGGAATACGTGGTGGTGAGGGGAGGTGTGATAGAAAGGGACTGTAAAGTCTGTCATCTTAAGCCTACTGTTTTCTATCTGATTCAGATTAGAGACTCCTGTCCTTAAAGACAGATTCATGTCATTGAGTCACTACCTCTAAAAAGCTGTGGATCAAATCACCTCCCACACTCAGACTCTCTCGTGATATCAGGTACAGGTGAACGATGAGGTACCACAGCCAAGAGGTGCACCCTTGGGCAACCAAGATCATCTTTTCCGTTTCCTCCTCTGTGCAATGGGGAAGTAAGACAGTCTCTGAAGGTTCCTGGTCTCTGACCGCATAGTGAAAGACTGCTAAACTTTTTCGTTGACAATGAACTGCTGAGACACGCTGTGGGCTCCATGGGGTCAGCTGTAAGCCCAGCCCCTTGGATCAGCCCGATGGCTGCATAGAGATGCTGCCTGCTGGCGGTGTCCAAAATCTGTATCTCGGCAAAGCCACTTTGGAGGTCCGGTTTTGTGGATACAGAGACAGTGAAGAGTATCCACTATAGTTTAGTCTGGCAAATTCCACAAGAATGCCCTGTCACTTCCCTGGAATGTGTGCTTAATCTTTTATTATTTTTAGTGATGCCGTTCATCATCTTGGACGTGTGCTTTATGCTTTGGCAGAGCTGGTTCCTATTGGGCAACCAAGATCATCTTTTCCGTTTCCTCCTCTGTGCAATGGGGAAGTAAGACAGTCTCTGAAGGTTCCTGGTCTCTGACCGCATAGTGAAAAGACTGCTGAACTTTTTCGTTGACAATGAACTGCTGAGACAGGCTGTGGGCTCCATGGGGTCAGCTGTAAGCCCAGCCCCTTGGATCAGCCCGATGGCTGCACAGAGATGCTGCCTGCTGGCGGTGTCCAAAATCTGTATCTCGGCAAAGCCACTTTGGAGGTCCAGTTTTGTGGATACAGAGACAGTGAAGAGTATCCACTATAGTTTAGTCTGGCAAATTCCACAAGAATGCCCTGTCACTTCCCTGGAATGTGTGCTTAATCTTTTATTATTTTTAGTGATGCCGTTCATCATCTTGGACGTGTGCTTTATGCTTTGGCAGAGCTGGTTCCTACACATTTCAATTCTAATAAACTCTTTGTGGGGGATGGTCTGAGCAGCTGGCAGTTCTAAGAAGTCACATCTTAGATAAAACCCAAAGGAATAGCAGCATGGACCACAGAGAGAGGCAGGAAGCACTGATAATCCAGTTGGTTGCCACCATTAATAAGCAGGATGATCCTGCTAAAATCCTTTATTTTAAATCAAAAGAAGAAGTGTTGAATCAGTCCATCATATTTTTTTTTTAAATGAAAGCACAGTAGATTTAAAATATTACATTAGTCTCAGGTATACAGCATAATTGCACTCATCTTACACGCTAGTGAAGTAATGCTCAAAATTCTCCAAACCAGGCTTCAGCAATATGTGAACCATGAACTTCCAGATGTTCAAGCTGGTTTTAGAAAAGGCACAGGAACCAGAGATCAAATTGCCAACATCTGATGGATCATCGAAAAAGCAAGAGAGTTCCAGAAAAACATCTATTTCTGCTTTATTGACTATGCCAAAGCCTTCAACTGTGTGGATCACAATAAACTGTGGAAAATTCTCAAACAGATGGGAATACCAGACCACCTGACCTGCCTCTTAAGAAACTTGTATGCAGGTCAGGAAGCAACAAATAGAACTGGACATGGAACAACAGATTGGTTCCAAATAGGAAAAGGAGTCCATCAAGGTTGTATATTGTTACCTGCTTATTTAACTTATATGTATCATAAGAAATGCTGGGCTGGAAGAAGCACAAGTTGGAATCAAGATTGCTGGGAGAAGTATCAATAACCTCAGATACGCAGATGACACCACCCTTATGGCAGAAAGTGAAGAACTACTTAAGAGCCTCTTGATGTAAGTGAAAGAGGAGAGTGAAAAAGTCGGCCTAAAGCTCAGTATTCAGAAAACTAAGATCATGGCATTTGGTCCCATAACTTCATGGCAAATAGATGGGGAAACAGTGGAAACAGTGGCTGACTTTATTTTTTTGGGCTCCAAAATTGCTGCAAATGGTGATTTCAGCCATGAAATTAAAAGATACTCCTTGGAAGGAAAGTTATGACCAACCTAGATAGCATATTAAAAAGCAGAGACATTACTTTGTCAGCAAAGGTCTGTCTAGTCAAGGCTATGGTTTTCCCAGTAGTCTTGTATGGATGTGAGAGTTGGACTATAAAGAAAGCTGAGCATTGAAGAATTGATGCTTTTGAACTGTGGTGTTGGAGAAGACTCTTGAGAGTCCTATGGACTACAAGGAGATCAAACCAGCCTATCCTAAAGGAAATTAGTCCTGAACATTCATTGGAAGGACTGATGCTGAAGCTCCAATACTTTGGCTACCTGATGTGAAGAACTGACCCATTGGAAAAGACACTGATGCTGGGAAAGATTGAAGGCAGGAGGAGAAGGGGACGACAGAGGATGAGATGG